GGCAAAACGTTCAAACACGAATGAGTCTCATGACACAAGTAGTAGCGAAGACGAGCTCCAGATAGACGTTTATACAGATAGAAAGATTAACTGTAGAAGGTTTTCTTCTACAGTTAGTCTATCGTTTTGATAGCAGCGACAGTGATATCGTNGACGTTTATACAGATAGAAAGATTAACTGTAGAAGGTTTTCTTCTACAGTTAGTCTATCGTTTTGATAGCAGCGACAGTGATATCGTCCAAGCAACAAGGCGACGAGAGAAAGAGTTCGCATAGATAGCGATTACAACAACAAAACGAAACAACAAAAAATTATAAAACGAACAATAACAAAATTATAAAAAATAAAATATTGATCTTTTTGCAAATTTCTCGATTTCAGCCAAATTCATCTAAGTCCAATATCGTTTTGATAGCAGCGACAGCGATATCGTCCAAGCAACAAGGCGACGAGAGAAAGAGTTCGCATGGATAGCGATTACAACAACAAAACAAAATTATAAGAAATAAAATATTGATCTTTTTGCAAATTTCTCGATTTCAGCCAAATTCATCTAAGTCCAATATCATTATAATATATTAGTTAGTTCCAAAACCATACTAAATAACACGAAGCTCTATAAATGCCCGTTTCTGTCGAAAAGTGGCGCTGAGTAGCTGGTAGCCAACGTCCAGAATGGTTCGGAGTGCTAAAAGGGTTAACCGACTGTCCTAACGAAAAACGGTTACCTTGGGTCGCGGAGTCCCGGTCGCCTTGCACCAGAAGGTGACGTTGCCCTTGCTGGTCTCGACCTTGACGGGCGGCCCGATCGAGGAGATCTCCGGCATGCAGGCGAACTGGTCGCTGCTGATCTCGTCCCACATCTGGTCGGCAAGGGCCGCCGGGTACTTGCACATGGTCGGCTTCGTGTATAGCTTCTGCTGGATCGTCCAGTCGCGGAATTCCTTGAGATAGCAGTTGCAGTTCCACGGATTGTTCTGAAGCTCGAGGCTGCCGAGGTTCGGCAGGTACTTGAAGCTCTCCATCTTCAGCGTGCTGAGATTGTTGCTCTTCAACGTGATCTGCTGGAGCTTCGAGACGTTGTGGAACGCTCTCTCGTCGATCCGTTGCAGCTCGTTGTTGGACACCGTCACCTTCTGCAGGAAGACCAGGTCGCGGAACAGGCCGTTCTCCAGCACCTTGAGCTCGTTGTTGTCGAGGTTCAGCGACCTGAGCTTCTGGGTCTCGTTGAACGTGCCCGGGTACAGGGTTCTGATGTGGTTCCAGGACAGGTCGATCTCGATCACGATCTTCAGGCCGTTGAACGCGTCCGTGTGGATCGACTCGATCTCGCACCTTTGCATCACCAGCTTGTGCAGGTTCACCAGGGAGACCCGGCTGAACGAGTTGTAGCTCAGCTGGGAGATATGGTTGCCCGTTAGATCGATGTGCTGGATCTCGGACGACAGGTTGCTCGGGATCTGCGTCAGGTTCCGGTTGATGCACTCGGCGGTCCTCTTGCCTTTCGCCCATGTGCACTTGCAAGCCGGCGAGCATTTCGCCGACCAGTCCTCGTAGCTCCAGCACATAACCATCAGCGTCGAGTAAAGCAACAGTTTCACTGTGCCGAGCTCCATCCCGAGGATTTCTGTTAACACGAGAAACATAACGGCGGGGATTAGAGGAGATCTTTTGGCGCGGCGGCTGAATAGAGGGGGGAAAGTAATCGCGACACAGCTTGCGATTCATTCGTTCCGTTAAATCCGGCCGATGTGCAAAGGAGCTAATTATACCGAGAGCCGAGTCGAAATTACCATGCTATGAAATACGGTTTATGGGACTGGCGTGTTCGTACAGGGTGTTCGAAAACGACAGCGATCGTGGTAGCAACGTTAAGTGCAACGTCCTGTTATTGAGGTACTTTCTTAATTCTTTGATTTATGATCACGTCTGAGAGACGTGGTCAGATAATCGGGTCGGGTATATATGGCTGTGGACGCATTGTAGTGCATCTAAAGTGGCCCACAAAATTTTCAGCAGTATAGTATTCATATAAGTTCATATAAATTATCTATAAAAGGCATTTTTTAAATTTTCGTTGTAGGCTCGGATAAAAGAGTTCAAAAACAAGAGTTATTTAAAATTTTCTTTTGTTATTCTAAGCAACAGCGACCTTTAACAAAAGCACTCCAATTATGGACTAGTAGACCGGTCGCTCTATCATTTAAAAAAAAATTCAAGTCGTTCTAAAAAAGTTCTCTTCTAAAAAAGTTATTGCATTTTGAAAAGTGTCCGAATATTAACAGCAGTCACTGTATTTTACATTCCGTTTTAAATTCCGTATTTTACATTTCGTGCAACCGCGAAAAGACTTTGGCTTACATGAAGCATAATATAATCTATTATAATAGATATACCTATTATAATTTATTATATCTATACTAATTATAATCTATTACAATCACCAAGATTCAACTCGAGATAAAAATATCAACAAACAAAAATTCCACTACGCCGTTGGCTAGTCTCTTCTACGTCAATTAATATTTCCGTCCAGCGACCCCGCAATCGGTCGAATCTCTAATCGGCCGGCGGATCAGCGGTGCATTGGCCGGTGGTTTAATTAAAATCATTTTTAACCGAAACCGTCTACGCGACACGATGCGCCCATAGACGCTCGGATAGAACGATCAGCAAGAGGCAGGAGGAACTGAACTTTCCGCTACGTAATCCGAGGAAGTCCGAGCGGAATCGCCGCGCAATACTTCCGGCTGCGGGACCGACCGCCATCTTCGTTTGTCGAGCCCGCCCCCCTGTTTCCCCGAGTTCTTCCTTTTCTTTCTTTTTTTCTCGTGTTTCCTCGTGGCCCCGCCCGGGTTGGTTTCTTTGCACTTCTTAGCCGGTTCCGTTAATCTCGATGCCGGCAGCCGGAGGGAGTCACCTAAAGCGCGTACCGTCGGCAATTTAGTTTAATATCGTTTCAGTATCCCTCCCCCCCACCCCACCGACTCGCGTTCCCTCCCCCGCGGCGGCCGGGCGCTGAAGTTAAATTAATACAACACGACGCCCGGCACAGTTTACCCCTTTTATTATCGTTGGGCCCGTGGAGTCCAAGGTTGTGCATCAAATTACTCTTTCCGCCGGAGGGTGGGGGGGGGGGGCGACGGCGGCTAGTACAATTCATTTTGTGCCTCCCGGAGGGATAGGAAGACCGGCTCGAGGAAACGACGGTTGCAACGACGACTAAGACGACGACGACGACGACTACCGCGACGTCGTTCGTACTATTTGAATTTATTCCAAAACTCCGAGGGGATGGCAGAACCGCCCGAGGAGGACGGGTCCTATCTCTCCCGACTGCGGCGGCGGCTGCGGCCGTGACGAAAAATCGGAGGAAAAGAGGGAAACGCGATGGCGGAGCGACGCGCGACGACGGTTTTCCACGCCGCGGGTAAATCGATTCCCTCGGCCGGCAGGACCCCTCGAACATTATAATAATGTCAATTCTCGCGGGCTCGATATGAGCGAACGTTACACAAATTCAATTACGGCCGATGCTTGGGCGACGACAACAAACTGTGTTTATCAAGCACGCCGACTCGCGCGCGCGCGCGCGCGATTCGGTTTGACTTGTTGTTGTCAAATATTTGTAGCGAGCTCGATGCTCATCGTCGCTCAGGCTTGCGAGTTGTTTCGAACGCGTTTCCGATCCTTTCCATCGTTAGTCGGGCACAAATTTTTACAGAGGATCGCGCGGATTTCGCGTATCAGTTTTCTGCGCGCGTGCGTTTTTTTTAAAACAGGTTTTGCACGGCTGAAAATATAGTGCCTATTGTGTTTATTTGAAATATCTTCGTTACTGCTATTTTCGTTCATTTTGTTTCGTTGTGAAACACGTTCGAAGTATTGATCATTCGTACAGATGTACGGGGTGTCACAAAAATGTCTCGCAATCCGGAAATGAGGAGTTCCTGAAGTCGTTTGAAGGAGCTTTTTCCTTAGCGAAAGTGCAATTTAACGCTTCGTTTATCGAGTTTAGTACACCTTAACTCGGCAGCACACAGATGGAGGACCAGTGAACCCCCACCATTACAAAGCCTTTTTTCTCCTATTTTTATACTGTATTAATTATATTCTACTATTATACAGGATATCCCAAAATTATTATTCAAGCGGGAAATGAGGGATTCCTTAGGTCATTCGAAGTAACTTTTTCCTTTACAAAAATATTCTCCGATGCATCGTTAACGAGTTATTAACGAAAAACACTGACCAATGAGAGATCACGCACGGCCGACGTCCCGCTCTCGCGACCACTGCCGCCGCGTCAGACTGCCGACGCGACGCGGCATTGGCCGCGAGGGCGGAGCGCCGGCCGCACTCGCTCTCCGATTGGTCAGTGTTTTTCGTTAATAACTCACGAACGAAGCCTCGGAGAACATTTTTATAAAGAAGAAATTTACTTCGAATAATCTCAGGAACCCCACATTTCCCGCAAAATACCATAATTTTCGGACACTCTGTATATTTGTCAAAAAGTTGCGCCGTTCGAGCGTGAATCGTAATTAAAGTAAACGTCGTTAAACTGCCGGGCGATCGAAAGGCCGTTAACGCGACGCATCTGAAAAATCGACGTTTACGGATTGGAGGAGCGTATAATTGAAAACGAATGGGTTCGATTAAGTCGCGAATAATTCGAATCGTTACCTTTTCATTCGTTAATCGAAATAACTTTCATCAACACAGCGTTGCTTTCGCTCGCCGCGCACGCCGGACGGGAAGATGACAGGAAATTGTCGTTCATTATCGATACGAGCACTTTATTTCTTGAATGAACGACCCGATTGATTATGTAGCAATTGTTCCGTGTCCCTGTCAATATCCATTGGAAATCTCATTGTGCCGGGCGAGACGATTGTTCGCGCGTTAGCGACCAGTGATAACGTAATTCTTTCAATACCGAGCCGCGCCGCGCCGCGCGGCCCGTTTATTGCGCGGCCACCCATTCGCTGTCAATTAATGCTGCGCTTTACGGCTAGATATTTTTTACCCGGCTACAATCGGCCCCGGCGGCGGCGGCGGCGGCTTACGCGGACGCAATAAATAACGCGATTCGAAGATAATGCAAATCCCCCGATCGCGCTGCGACGTAACAGCGCGAAATAATCGCGCGGGTGTCGATAGAATCCCCTTTCGCGGGAAACGCAGATGAAGAATAATTATAGGAATATCGTGTACTATACAAAATCGTATTACTGGTAAACCGATAATAGTGCCTACGTGATCGGACTGCTAATGTTCCCCGCATTTATGGAACAATTCGCGCCGGTGAACACGACGCGACAAGGATTGAACGAACTCGCGAATCTTTCTCGAAGCCGTCGAAATTCTTTATCGAAACCGGTTTTGTTTAACGTTAACCGTTTCGTCGATGGAAAATACCGAAAGAGCTTCCTGCGAATAGATAATCGAACAGGACAAGACGCTAGGTTGGGAATTTTCGTTTCCATATACGGTAAATTCTCTCTAATTGTCCCTCAGATTGCGCACAAAAATGGGCCATTTTGGAAGAGGAGATACGTTCATCCGAGGCTCGCGACTCGTTTTTACAGCCACCGGTTGCCAACAACTATAAAAACGAGCTGCAAAGCTCGAGTAATCGTATCTCCTCTTCCGAAATTGTCCATTTTTGTGCACGATCTTAGCGTCAGTTAGGGAAGCATTACCGCAAATAAGAGAGTTTAAAAGAATATTCGTGCGTGTGCGGCGAGGACGAAAATCTGCAAAATTATTCTGGAGAACGTCATCATTCCCCAAGAACTTGGCGAACGCATGAACTATCGTCCCTTTTTCTGATCGATCGAAGTTCCCCCGGTGATTCCAACAATTACAAATTCTCCTTCACCCTTCCGTTCCCGGCAAACAGTCGCCGACGGATGCGACACAAGCCCCGTTCTTTAAGTCCCGCTCTCCCGTAAATAACGTCGAATTCGGAGTAAAAGTCAGAGAGGGACTCGTCAAGTCCATTAACTTCGGCCGCGCGGAAAAGCGGGCGTCGTCGAAGGCGAAATAAATGGGCAGGGTCGTGAAAATTTATTTCTCGTCGTGGAATCGGGGATTCGGTTGTCGGAGGGGCGGGCTGAGAACCGGAGGAAAAGAGAGAGAGAGAGAGAGAGAGAGAGAGAGAGAGAGAGAGAGAGAGAAAGAGGGGGAGCAGAGAGAGCTGTCTTCGAGTGCGAGAACTTTCCGCATGCATGGCTCGTGCGAGCATTCTGCTCGATTCAGGGAACTTTTTCAAGTCTCCGCCCGCGGCTGGAAGCTCGGTGGGCCCGCGCGCTTTGTCGCGCCGCTGGACTTTATCGTCGCAGGACCTCTCGGAGCCCGCTCCGAGAGGATCCTTTTGTGCCCGGTACCGCGGCGCACCGCTCCAAGACAAAATAAATACGATCCCGTGGTTCGTTGTGCGTTCCATTTTTCTCGTTACATTCCACTTCCTCTCTTTTCTTCCGTTCCGGACCGCCCCGGTCCCCCCTCCACCACCCTCCGCGTTACCCAAGCGCGGCGGTTCTTCTTTCCCCGAGGCTTTTTCCTCGGCTCCGCGAGCCCCGGGTGCCGGTTTCACGCGATCGTTCTAACGGGGCGGCCGCG